AAGTTTGAATAAAGTAGACACACTAAGATTTCCAGAAACCTAAGTCTCATGATTTTTAGATGTTCGTATTGACTTGTACGGATTTTAGAAGTTGGAGGACAGATGTGGGAAAATTGATCATAATATCTTCTAAATGATTTTTGGTGTTCTATTAAGGAATTAATAGTTAAGCCTTAAGTTTATCACTTTTAACATGATTGTTGGTTACTTATTAGGCTATAGAGATGTGAAATTCAATTTAACCTAAGGGCCTTAATGTTTGGCTTAATGAGGGTTCAAAGTTAAGGTTTTTTCATTGAGACATTTCATCGAACACTTGGTGTTTAAAAAATCTATAAACTATCACAATGTCTATGATATTATATAAAACAAGATAGAAGTTAATCACCTCAAATGAAAGAGTAATGAAGATACAATAACAACAAGAATCACTAATCATCCAACAAGTATGTATTTAACATCATTCAGAACTCATAAGAACAAATATGTGTAAGGAATAAAAGACAATTACCAAATATATTTGATGTCTGCTCCAAAATAAGGAACCAAAAGATAATCAAGATCTGAAACCATCAGTTCAGGAAGTGTGCTAATAATCTGAGCACCATGGACTTTGGTTGTTGCCCTAAGAAAATGAGCCAAACGCTGACCATATGTGTGAGGAAACGATTGATTGATAGTGTGCCCACCAGATGAATGTACCACAGTAGTTGCATCACCAAATTCTAATGGCGGGGGGGGGGGGGGGGGGGAGGGGGTGGAGGGAGGATCGGAGTGGGGTGTCGGTTGTTTTGTGAGTGAAAAGCAAATCACAAAGAATATTTATGTTAAATTTCATTAAAACTTAAATGACGTCTTTCGTATTTTTTAAAATTGATCTCAAATGTTGTCAAACTAAATAAATGTTCTCATTTGAACATATATATATATATATATATATATATATATATATATATATATATATATATATATATATATAGGTTCAGGTTCATTTGAAACCATGCTAATTTTGTAAGACCGTGAGACCAAATCTAAAAATAATTTTAAAATGCAAAATAAAAGGAAAAATCCAAAAAAAATAATTTTTTTTAGTTAATTCAAGTTCCGAAAATAATATTTAAAAAAATAATTTTTAGATTTTTCTATTTATTTTGCATTTTAAAATTATTTTTTAGAATATATCAGTGTAATATTCTATTAGAATATTTCACGTATTTAAAAAAAAAAAAGGGATTTTTTTATTTTTATTTTATTATTTTTTAATTTTTTTAGTTAATTCAGTTTCTGTAAATAATATTTAAAAAAAGAATTTTTAGATTTTTTTTAATTTGTTTTGCATTTTAAAATTATTTTTAGATTTGGTCTCACGGTCTCACAAAATTAAAACGATCTCAAATGAACCTGAACCTATATATATATATATATATATATATATATATATATATATATATATATATATATATATATATAGGGTTAGGCTCATGTGAGACGACTTAATTTTGTGAGAAAGTGAGACGCATTTTTTTATTTTTTTAAGTTTTTTTTAATTTTTTTTTAGTTAATTCAAGGTCCGAAAATAATATTTAAAAAAAGAATTTTTTGATTTTTCCATTTATTTTGCATTTCAAAATTATTTTTAGAATATGTACAGTGTAATATTCTATTTAGAATATTTCACGTATTTTTCAAAAGAAATAGGATTTTTTTTTATTATTTTTTTTAGTTAATTCAAGTTCCGAAAATAATATTAAAAAAAAGAATTTTTAGATTTTTCCATTTATTTTGCATTTTAAAATTATTTTTTAGAATATGTGAGTGTAATATTCTATTTAGAATATTTCACGTATTTTTCGAAAAAAAATGAGATTTTTTTATTATTTTTAGTTAATTCAAGTTCCGAAAATAATATTTAAAAAAAGAATTTTTGGATTTTTCCATTTATTTTGCATTTTAAAATTATTTTTATATTTGATCTCACGGTCTTACAAAATTAGAATGGTTTCAAATTAACGTTAACATATATATATATATATATATATATATATATATATATATATATATATATATATATATATATATATATATATAGGTTTATGTTCATTTGAGACCATTCTAATTTTGTTAGACCGTGAGACCAAATCTAAAAATAATTTTAAAATGCAAAATAAATGGAAAAATCCAAAAATTCTTTTTTTAAGTATTATTTTCGGAACTTGAAGTAACTAAAAAAAATATTAAAAATAAATAAAAATAAATAAAAAAAATAAAAAAAATTCCGTTTTTTTTTTTTGAAAAATACGTGAAATATTCTAAATAGAATATTACACTGACATATTCTAAAAAATAATTTTAAAATGCAAAATAAATGGAAAAATCTAAAAATTCTTTTTTTAAATATTATTTTCGGAACTTGAATTAACTACAAAAAATAAAAAAAAAATCTTTTTTTTTTTTTGAAAAATACGTGAAGTATTCTAAATAGAATATTACACTGTACATATTCTAAAAATAATTTTAAAATGCAAAATAAATGGAAAAATTAAAAAATTCTTTTTTTAAATATTATTTTTGGAACATGAATTAACTAAAAAAAATAAAAAAAATGCGTCTCACGGTCTAACAAAATATAAGTGGTCTCCAATGAACCTAACCATATATATATATATATATATATATATATATATATATATATATATATATATATATATATATATATATAATATACCCTTAAGGGTATATAAGCTTAGGTACCTAAACTCATAATAATACGTAGTTTTATTTGATATATTTATTATAATATTGTTAAACTTCAATCCTTAACTTGATTTATATTCAATATTTTTAAATTTTCACTATTGTCTGCTTTTTACATCACATTTTTTTGTCGAATACTTACTAGGCTATATATATTATTGTTGAAAATGACAATTATGTAAGAGGAAGATAAATATGAAATTTATAAAAATCTTTGAAGTAATTCAATTTAGAAGTTGAATTATAAGAACATTAGACAATTACAATGTCTATATATGATATAAAATGATGTAGTATATAGTGAGTTTGGGTATCTAAGCTTATATACCCTTAAGGGTATATTCACTTTTCCCATATATATATATATATATATATATATATATATATATATATATATATATATATATATATATATCTTTACTACTTATAAAAGAAATCTAATTATTTCTATAAATAGATTGAATATAATAATATTATTTTTTTAAGACGTCCAAACTATTAAGCTTGAAGTACAACCCATTTATAATATAATAATATTAAAACTTTAACCCTATCTTTTATCCTCTAAAAATCTGGTATCAAATTAATATAAGAATTCATTTGTAAATTGAACCCGTCAATCTCAACACTTCAGTCATTTAAAGCGGTCAATGTCAACAATTTATAGAGGATCTCTTCTCTCACATTGGTAACAAGCCATCTCATAATATCTATCTTCGTAATCCCTTCAAAGTAAGAAATATACGCACACTCTCTGGAAGAACCCTAACCAGTAACCAAGACAGTATAACCACCACCACCACAGCCGCTCTGCCTCCTTCCGCCTTCAACTAACAACTATCATGACTACCGCCTTTCTCTCACCCACGACATGAACTTTCTTTTGGAACATAACATTTTTCTTTAAAAAAAATATCGTTGAAAGAAGCTATTTGTCCCCGCTGCTGTGCGCGGGTAACGGCTAGTATATATATATATATATATATATATATATATATATATATATATATATATATATATATATATATATATATATATATATATATGCGCGATTGAAAAAGAGGTTTACAAAATTTATTTATGTCATTATCTAAACTATACTACAGTTTTTAACAAAAATTATATGCGAGTCCTACCAAACTATAAAAAAGCCATGTAAACAAAAAAGTACTATTATAATTATGATTTTGAAAAGCTTATTTGACGAAAAAACATAAACTTTTATAGTAGATGCTTTACTACATGTGATGACCTCCTACTAGGCTATTATTATAAAGAGTAAATTATATGAATAGTCCCTATGGTTTGAGTAATTTGCGCGTTTGGTCCCTAACTTATTTTTTTAACTCGGAAGGTCCCTACTAATTGTTTTTATTACGTGTCTGGTCCCTATTGTTTGTTTTTGTTACGCGCTTGGTCCCTGTCATACCTAAAAAGACTATTATTTAAATAGAAAAAAATAATGCAGTACGTAAGGTAAGGTGAAAAGGGTGAGATTAGGGGTGTGTTTATTTAAATAAATTAAAAAATAAAGGAAAAAATAGATTTTTTTAAGTAAGACAGGGACCAAGCGCGTAACAAAAACAAACAGTAGGGACCTTCCGAGTTAAAAAAATAAGTTATGGACCAAACGTGCAAATTACCCTAAACCATAGGGACCATTCGTGTAATTTACTCTATTATAAATGTTGTAATACATGTGACTTGCACAAGATTTTTTTTTCATAGAATTCATTAATTTTGAAAATTTAGACTTTGGCTAAGGGTATGGTGCATTTTTAACCGATGGTAAAAAGATATCACGTAGTCACCACGTTAACTTTCCCAGTTTTTACAATTTTCACTTACAAACTAGGGTGTGGTAATGGTTTACCTATGAGTTTTTTTTTTTTTTTTTTTTCTTTTTCTTTTTTTTTTTAAATTTTTTTTAAAATTTTATTTTAATTTTTAATTTCATTAAAAAATAAGAACATTTTTTTAAAAACCATACTAAAATTAAAAATTACATATTAGAAATCCTAAAAATTAAAAATAACATAAAATTAAAAATTACATTAAAACCCTTAAAAAAACATCGAAATTTCATTTGCGGTTTAGCTTATATTTTTCGCGAATCGACTGCTTCATCACTTTAGCCGCCTCTTGATCCTCGGGGTCGATGTGTCTTACATCTTGCATTAACAATGAATACTCACATCTGTGAGTCGGACGGTTTCAATCATACGCCTCTCCAAAGTTGAATTTAATTATGCCATTTGTGTCATCATTTCTTCCGATCTAGCTGACCGCTTGGTTCTAATTGAAGAATTTGAAGATGATGTCGCTTTCTTTTTTGCTTTTGATCGAGCTTTTGTTTTGTCCCTTCCCATTGGAGGAGGAGGCGGGCGTATTTCTTTGATGTCGTCGTTATCATCATTAAGATTAACGCCTACGTGGCCATCTGATGAGATTTGTTGTGAGTTCGGATATGGTGATGTTCGACTTCTTTTTGGCGGATTAACAATTTCTTTATGTGTTGCAAGTTCCATCCACTTAATGTTTCTCTGAATAACTTCTCACACACAAATAAACTTAAAAGATTTTAGTATATCATCTTGGAATGTAGCGTGTGTTTTTTTCAACAAACTCGTTTCACTTTCTCCGCTAACCATTGTTTTTCAAAGTTTGTGTAAATCTCATTCCAATATGTAACGACTTTGTTCATAAGATTCCATTTGGAGTTACATTGGTTGGAGGTTCGCTAATCTGGATTTCGATCCATTCCCTTACAAAATCGTTATATGATCCGTAACCAAAATTGATCACGATTTTGACCCTTTTCCCGTTCCACCATCTTCAGATACGTTGACCCATGCCTTTGCTAACTCAACTTCTTCTTTTAGTGTTTGTTTTCTTGGACCAGCCTTCCCTTTCTCTTTTGTTGTTGAGGTGGTTGTTGTCCTTCTTGTTCGGAATCAGAAAAAAATTCGGTTAAAGGTGTGAATGGCGGTTATGATGGAAATTGGGTTTGAGGTTGAGATTGGAAATGAAATTGTTGAGGCATTTGGAATTGTGAATAATAGCTAAGAACAACATCCATTTGTGACCGGTAAGGTGGTAGTGATGACGGATCGTAGCCGAAAAATACGAAAGAGTTGTTAACATTTTGGTTTAGAGCATTTTGTTTGGAAGAGTTTGGATTGTTAGAAGACATTATCAATGAGAAAATGTTTGTTGAAAGTGTGTTTTTAAATTTTAGAAATATGATATATATATATATATATATATATATATATATATATATATATATATATATATATAATAGATTTAAAAAAAAAATTGCTAAAATATCCGTTGTTGACCGTTTGGCAACATTCCCTTCCCCAAAATCCCTCAAACGGTCAAAAATTCAAACGATTACCAACGGTAAAAAACCACTGCTGGTATTTCACTGATAGTATTAACATCACCACGATACGGTGTTCACCGATGGTGAAAGTGTAACACGTTGGATACTGCCGGTGACATCTTTACCATACCGTGTAGCCTTAGTCAGTAAAAACTTATTATTACGGATTCCAATGCTAAAAAAATTAAGTGACAATTAAGTAGACATGCTGATGAAGGAATAGCCCAGACAAAAAATTGCAATCTACCCTTTTTCATAAAATCATGTTATAGAATCAGTCGTAATTATCTATAAAGTCAAAAAACGACAAAATATGTTATCAACTGAAACAAACAAGCATAATTTTTTATTCGTTTTCATTTAGAATAAGTTAATCACATGTGACAATGTGCATATTGGCTTGGGTTGTTTTTTGTTTCATTGTTAAACTGATTTATAAATTACAATACAATTTAACTCGTTTAACTGAATGTGTTAGAAATTTAAACTCAACGAATTAAAAATTCAGTATCTATAATAAAGGGACTGATAATTTTGCAAATTGCAACCCTTGGACGTTTCATTTCCATTTACAGCATGTGATTTTACTGAAATGGATTGAAGTAAAATGGGGTAAAAAAGCAGTTGTTTGTTGGAGTTTAAAGTGGCTGATAATAAGGGCCAAAAGAAAGGGCAGCCTCCAAGTAAGCGCGTGGATCCGAACGCGCCCTGGATATGCGTCAACCTCGGAAGGTGGCGGGGAACAGCCTGGTATGCCTTTGCCTGCCAATTTAAAAAATCCAACCTTTGGTAATCTCTTCCTGTTTATGCAATATTTTATACCTCCCCTATGTTTGGATATTGCATTTTGATTGATGGAGTACATCCAGGAAAAGCGATAAAGAAAACCCCATTATCAATTAACAATTTCCCATCCATCTACATGCATGTTCTCCACAAAGAATTAAATTGGAACAGAGTGTAGGTGTTTTCAGTGTGTGTGTTTGTGTTTGTGTCTGTGTAAATGATGAATGAACATAATGTGTTTGTATAAATGTCTGTGAGAGATTCTCGAATAAGCAATAAAAAAACTTCTCGACAATATAAAAACCTCTCATTCAATTCAGTATTGTGTGTCATCTTATATACTATATATATATAAATTGTTTTCAAATGCACATGGCCTTTTGAGCTTCTACTCTTCTCTGCTCTTCCACAATTGTTTTTCTTTCCCTCTCACATGGTTTGTCTCTCCACATTCTCTCTCTCTATGATTAAGTAAACTAGTTTTTCTTTTGTTTATTCATTGACTGAGCACTTCTAAGATACTTTCCAGATCTACAGTGAAAAAAGGGGGTTACAGAGGCTGACGAGATGACATGAATGGCAAGGCCAGATGGATTTTCCCCAATCTCAACTTCTTTCGCTTTTCTGATCTAAGTGGCATCCGATAAACAAAACTTATTCGTGGAAATGATTATCGCGTTTCAATCATTCCTTCTCCAGTCGGTAAATTTTATCGGTTTCCACCATTTTTGCAGAATTTTGACAAGTATCGATGATTCTTCTTCTTTCATTTCGAATTTGCCGATCATGTCAATGGTGAGTATCATGCTTCTCCAATTACATTTTCCCTTTCTGTTGGTAAACTCTCTCGATCGTGATTTCATAAATTTCAATCTGCAGAAACAATCTGTTAATTGCGTATAGACTCCATTGATGCTCAAAATCACAATTTCCTCAAAGTAAACAGACATCGATACTTTTTGTATTGTTATTATTATTATTATTATTATTATTCTAAAATGGTGAGCGAGATGGTGGATGATCATGTTGAAGATATGGAGGTTGAAGTCCTCTCTTCAATGTGGCCTGAAGACATTGATGAAGCTGGAAAAAAGTTCAATGTAGAAAAACCAGGACTCCATGAAGATATGTTAGAGGATCTTGCCTTCATTGAAGAGCCTAGTATAGTTGACTTCAAAAGGTTAGTAGAACTCACAAGTTACAGTGAAAAAGGGTCCTCACAGTTAGCTTACCTTGTAAAAAACTGGGAATATAAACAAGAAAATGCTGTGAGACTTTTGAGGGAAGAGCTTGAAAATTTGAGCAAACAACAACATGAAGTTCAGCTTAAAAAATTAGAAATCTTTGAACAACATCGTTTTGAGGAAAGTTACGAAGGTGATAAACGTCCAGTTTCTGTGCTGGATGGAGTTTATGAAATATTTCAAGATGTACCCAAGAAAAGAAATGATGTTATTGTTGAAGATAAACGGGTAGAAATAGATGCTGAATATGATACAGTTATATATTGGAAGCAAAAGGCATTGCATTTGGGAAAATTGTTGGAAGAAAGTGTTCAGAGAGAACATATACTTTTGGAAAAGTTGGAGGAAAGCATTGAAAACCTTGAAAAACAATCATCACCTGTTGAAGAACTGTCCCAGATCTTGAAAAGAGCTGATAATTTTTTACATTTTGTTCTTCAAAATGCACCCGTTGTTATTGGCCATCAGGTAATTTGATTTCACTCAAGCTCTTTTTATTTTGTTCCTTTTTTGCCCTTTTTACATTACGATTGTAATATCTCAGGACAACGAGTTGCGATATCGCTTCATTTATAATCATTTTCCAAGCTTACGAGAAGAGGTAATATGATCATCATCAACTTTATTAATTCAAAGTTATTATTTGTTGTAAGTTCATAGATTATTTTTGAACCATATCTTTTTTTTCCCTAATACTATGCACAGGATATAATCGGGAAAACAGATGTAGAAATATTCAAAGGTGGTGGTGTAAAGGAATCCCAAGATTTCAAAAGAGAAGTTCTTGAAAAAGGATTACCAGGAAAAAGAGAAATAACTTTTGAGACCGAATTATTTGGTGCCAAAACATTTTTAATATATGTTGAACCTGTTTTCAGCAAAGATGGAGAGAAAATTGGTGTAAATTACATGGGTATGGAAATCACTGATCAGGTACTTTCTTTCATTTGTTTATTATAGCATCTTCTTATTACAACATTGTAGTTATAAAAATCTACCCAATTCGGTTTTATAATTTGATATATTTTTTTTAATCATGTGACAGGTAAAAAAGAGAGAAAAGATGGCAAAACTCCGGGAAGAAATAGCCGTGCAGAAAGCTAAAGAGACAGAACTTAATAAAACTATTCATATTACAGGTTGGTAAGCTTTCTTTCTCTTGAACCTTATGAATTTTATTTTATTGTTTTATATAAAAATGGTTTATCGAACATTTTGCCTAAATAAACTTCTTTTAGAGGAAACAATGAGAGCAAAACAAATGTTGGCAACCATGTCACATGAGATAAGATCTCCATTATCCGGGGTCGTTAGCATGGCAGAGATTTTATCAACTACAAAACTTGATAAGGATCAGAAACAGCTCTTGGGTGTTATGTTATCTTCTGGTGATTTAGTTCTTCAACTTATAAATGACATTCTTGACCTTTCCAAAGTCGAGTCAGGTTATTTTTCATCCCTTTATAATTGCTATTTTTTTTAATAGACTGATGTTCAAACTTCAAACACCGTTTTTATACTGTGTAGCATTTAAAAGTTAAGATTATTTTCAGGAGTTATGAAGCTGGAGGCTACAAAATTTAGGCCTAGAGAAGTAATCAAGCATGTTCTTCAAACTGCAGCTGCATCACTGAAAAAGATGTTGATTTTGGAAGGACACGTGGCAGATGATGTCCCATTGGAGGTTTAATCTCTAATACTGATATAATTTGCTACAAAAAAGAGAACATTTATGTTAACATTTGTTAAACAATTTCAGATTATTGGTGATGTTCTACGGATTCGACAGATTCTCACCAACTTGATCAGGTATTTCTAACACAGGTCAAAATGTTCCATACACACCAAGTTCTAAACACATTAATTTTGTGCAGCAATGCTATCAAGTTCACTCACCAAGGGAAGGTTGAGATAAATCTATACGTAATAGCAGATCCATATCCTGAAGGCCAACAAGAACCGAAGAATGTAAACACAGATGATTTAACAAAAAACGATCTCCTGTTAAATGGACATGAGGAGAATGAACCTCAATCGCATGAAACAGTAGTCTGGATACGCTGTGATATTAAAGATACAGGAATAGGAATACCAGGTACCTTTCCTTTAAAATTTCCAATTTCTCATTTTCGTAGCTTTAGTAATCATGTTAACTATAATATTTTATTCATCGATTTGATGTCAGAAACTGCATTACCCAATTTATTCAAAAAATACATGCAAGCTGGAGCAGATACAGCTAGGAAATACGGTGGGACTGGATTAGGTTTAGCGATCTGCAAACAATTGGTAATGATTCTAGATCGGAATCGGAATGTGAGAAAATGAAATTGGTTTTGACCTAAAATCCGTGATTTATCGCAGGTTGAGCTGATGGGAGGGCATCTGACTGTATCGAGTAAAGAACATTGTGGATCTACATTTACTTTCATTTTACCTCATAAACTTTCACATCCATGTGATGGTTCAGATGATACTGATGAGTTCGGCGACATGGCCGATAACGACGAGTCTGAAGATGAAGACATCACTTGTGGCTTTTTCCAATTCAAGCCACACACGTTAGGCTCCGTGTTCTCTTCTAAAGACAGAATCAGTGTGCTTCCGGAGAATTTGTATTCCATTCCTTCGAGTAAAGTTGCTCTCAAAGAGATTAATTCCATGGATGACGATTCCTCTTGTTTTGATACCTCATCGGAACCTGAAAGTTGTTCGAAATGTAACTCAGAGAATGAAAATACGACCTCCATAGTCGCTGCTTCATGTTCGCCTTCTTCAAAAACAGATTTATGTGACACATGGGAGGCAAGAAAGGATTCAAATAGAAGCTCAGAGTGTAGTAGTAGTTCCGGTAACCAGGAAGACGTTGGCAATGGCAGGTCAACAAGAAAACCTAAAATTCTTCTTGTGGAAGATCATATGGTGAATGTAATGGTGGCAAGGAGGATGATGAGACAGTTGAATCAAGACATGGATGTTGTGAATAATGGAGCTGAAGCTGTTCGTGCTGTTCAGAGTTGTGCTTATGATCTCATTCTTATGGTATTTTTACTACTAAATTATTTCATTATCAATCAAACTAATTAAAAAAATAAAAATCATGATCGCTAAATGAATGTGCAGGATGTATGCATGCCTGTAATGGATGGGCTTGAAGCTACGAGACTGATTCGTTCATATGAAAAAACCGGGAATTGGGATGAAGCAAGGAAGGCTGGAGTGGAACCAGAACCACATGATCATGATCATGATTCTCCTTCTCACAATCAAATATCCAGAAAGAGAATTCCCATCGTTGCAGTAAGTACTAAACTAGCAAGAAATGTCTAAAATGCCCTTGCGTTTTACTATATTATGACTAACAAAAAGTTTTATTAATTGTCTGACTGAGTAGATGACAGCAAACGCAATGTCGGAAAGTGGAGAAGAGTGCTTTGAGAATGGTATGGATTCGTTCATTACAAAGCCTGTTACACTTCAGAACTTAAAACAATGTCTTGAACAGTATGTGGAGTGATATAAAATCAGCGTGTAAATAGATCATATATGTGTATGTGTATAGAAATGTGAATGTGAGTTAGGAAAGTTTTGTAATCAATGTTTGGTCTTTTTCTCGTCCTCTTAGCTCTTCACTTTATAAGAGTTAGTTGTCTAAACAGTTTTCATTTCTTTAGAGTTTAGATGGGTGTTATTAGGTTGTAGGTTAGCAAAATAAGTATGTAGGGGACGAGCTGAATACCATTGAGCTAGATATTATTATAGTTTTGTTTTGTGAGCAATAATTAATTAGCTGTGAATGGCTTAGACATTTTTATTTTTACATAATCCAAGGTTTTGTAAATTATTTTGTGTTTCTATTCTGGTTCAGAAAATGTGATGTGCCATCGAGGTCAAGTTTTCAATAACTTTACTTTTTAATCACTAAGTTATTATTAACATCTACTTTGCTATTTCTTTTCTCTTTATTAAAGCGTATGTTTGATATTAAATGATTAATAATTGTAAATCATTTACTTTCTAACAAAGTAATTGATTTATTAATCAATCTCTTAAATGCTTTTTGATGATTATAGATAGTACATAGAGAATCTTCTGAATTCAAATTCATCAATAACTTTTCATCTATTTTTAAAAATGTAACACATCCCTAATATGCGGGCAACTATAACTACAAAAAACACAACTGAAAGTGGCATAAAAAATAAAAAAATAAAAAAATAAAAAAGTTACAATACATGAAATCAGCTAGTACGCCTACAAGGCTACAATACGATTTGTTTTAAATTACAAATGGTCAGAGAGTCTGTGAAACACTAAATCAGTCAAGTCAGTTATACATAACTGATAACAATGACATAATAGATAATACATGAGCTTCACAACAAAAGAGTCTATATCTACTCTACCTTACAAATAAATCAACACAAACTTTGTCTTTTCCTCATCAACTGACCTGACTACATTCAGATTGAGTCACTTACTTGGCTCTTCCTCTTACTCTCCCTCTCCCTCTTCCTCTACCTCTAGCTCTCGTCATTCGGTTTTCAGCCATTCCATCTTCCTTTTCTTTTGCAACCAAACTTTCCTCTTCATCATTAAAACTGTCCTGAGAATTATTAACTGGTACTTCCACTGATTCTGTCGATAAAAAACAATTCTTTTCCACCTCATCATTTTCATTATCATTCCCTTCTTCATTCTCCACTCCATTCTCTTCACTAACACCCCTCGTTTCTTTCTTATCGCCTAAACAACAAGATTAAATCAGTATCTACTTTTTTTTTCTTTCAAATAATCTGAAAGCAACCATACCTTCAGCAGTCAGGTCCACAATTTCATTCGACTTGTCATTATCCAAGGAATGTTGTAAATGATGTTTCATGGAAGAACGATGGCTGTTTAGCAAATCTTCACTTGCCTTTGATCGCACTTTGCGTATTTCATCCTCAATGTTCCACGATCCACCAGAAAGATAATCCCTCTGTACAATTTATTTTTTAAAAAAATTAGATAACATACAATTTACAAATATGATTAAAGAATTATCTATCTAACCTTTGTTGATGTGAAAGAGATTCCAGCATCAGAAGAATAGGGTGTTCTTTCCTTGAACAAATCTGGACTTAATGAATTATCACGTCTTAAAGGAGATGCCCATGCTGGACGAGTTCTCATATATGATTTTGCCACTTCAACTGGCGACCCTTCTTCTTCAGTAGCCTGGATATGAACAAAAAAATATAAAATATATTCACATATACATATATATATATATTTAAAGAATATTGCATGTGAGGGATTAAGATTTAACCTGTGGTGTCATAATATACTTAAGAGCATAAAGTCCATTGTCCAAATCTGACTTTTTACCAGATCTAACTTTACTCTCTGCAACCCACTTTCTTGCTTCTATGATAGCTTGGGTCTCTGGTTAAAAATAACTATTTGTTCGTAATCATATCAAAGAAATTTAGTAGATATGAAAGTGTTACAGATGCTTTCTGGATTTACCATTGTTACTCCTGCTATGAATCATGCTTGGTCCTGCATAATCTACAACTCGCGAATTGATAATCTCTATTAGTTTATCACATTCTTCCCTGTTGGAAATTATGAAATTATCAGTGAGCATAAAGCTTATATGGAGTAATATGAAAATACATTGAGCAAAACATACCTTGAATATCGTTCAATCATAAGTAGCTGCTCAACTAAATGCAAAACTTCACCCTTCTGAGATGAACTATCCTTTTGCTGATGTAACAAAATAGAGTTAAAATATTTGTGATGCAACCATTTTCAGTTATCAAGTTCATAACAAGTGGTTTGCTTTACACTCTGAAGTGATATCACTACATATGGAACAAATGATGGTAATAAAGAAGAGAACAGATACCTGATTCTGATTCAACTCCATTGCTCCATCAGAAGGGTTTTCATCATCTCCAGAATCATCTTCAGCAAAAGATAACAATATCAAATTCATGAATTACCCAAATTTTCAAGATCATTGAAATAGCGTTACTTCAATTTCTTCCGTACTAACATTGTGTTTCCTTATTCCTCTTCACAAAATGAATTTTGATAAAACTTTCTCCAACGAATGTGTGATGTGTTCTCAAATTCTATAACTAGCGCAAATAAGGTTGGTTATATGATAGATACGTATACTAAAAGATTAACATGCATTTATAACTAAATCTGATGAAAAACATTCCCTCCATACCATAACGACCGTTTTTCAAAATTCAGAAAGATTCAAGGGAAAAATACTGTGAGTTGTGATTCGAGGACATTGGGTTGTTTCGCGCTAGAAAAAACTCCTAATTTGGATCTATTTTACTCTGAAAAACACATACAATTAAAACACATTAAAAGAAACCCCAAAATAAGATTATCTACCTGATTCGGAATCACTGTCCGAAGAAGAGGAGGAGGAAGCCGCGGCCCAAGTCTTGGGGTTCCAAAACGAAGATAAAATTTTGCTGGCACCACCAGCAACAAACTTAGCCGGAAAAACAAGTCCACCGAGCCAACTAGGGCTTTCTGATTGCAGAAGTGGAGGCTCAGGCTGAGGCGGAGTTGGGCGGTCGTATGGGGTCTTCCTAGCAGCAACTCTCCTTGCTTTCAAGATTTTTCCGCCGGATCTGCCGGCTGGAACATCTGCGGGTGCCTGAGAACCGGGAGCCATGGTGTTGAGATTCGCGATGGGCGAAGAGAAACGGTGTTGGTGTTCAGTGACTCAGTGTGTTTTCCGAATCGACGGAAAAAGAGCGAGTCAAAAGCACTTAAGTAATGAGTATGCAATAACCTTTTATTTTGTTTTGATTTCTCAATAAATATGAGGGTACCTTTCTTCCAAACACTCAATAACTATTTAGTTTATTTAATATAAAATGTTCTTTTTTTCGAATGAGTATTTAATATATAAATAAACGTTCTCAAAGTGTAAAAGTAAAACAGTACTAAAGATGTCATGTAACCTATAAATTTTGGATAGTTATAAAAAATAACTACTGATAATATGTAATTGATTCAAATTTTAGAAATTTTTAAAGAAATTTGGATTTCAAACATATATAATATATAAAATACTTTTTTTTATTTATATCTTACATATATAATAAATAAATAAATCTTCCAAACATGTCAATCTTTCATTAGTTTTGATACTTGTCAATTTGGGGTATTTTTGAAATAAATATTATCCCACTTGTCAATTTTTGGTTTTTTCAATTTTTATAATTAAAGTCGTATACTTATATATGTAAAATATTGAATATCATATATATATGATATTAAATTGTAATAAATACATTTCTTCTTTTCTTATTTTAAAGTTTTACATTAAAAAATATTTTATGTTACATTTTAATGTTTAATTTTTTTAAAATCAACTTGTATAATATACGGGTTTCACACCTAATAAATAAATAAAACTCCGTTAACCGTTGCCTCATTGACCTTTATTGCAACACAATGACACATTTTCATGCCATTATATCGGAATATATATTCGATTAGATAAAGTTGTTTTCTCTTTATATATATATATATATATATATATATATATATATATATATATATATATATATATATATATATATATATATATATATATATATATATATATATATATATATATATATATAAGTGTTCAATTGAGAAAATAAAAAAGGTTGAGAATGAGGGAATCATTCTCAGTCATTCATTTTATTCAAGTATAAAAAGATACGGTGGTAAACTTGTAAATATGAGAACAACCTTTAATATCAAATACGTATCCGTAGTTCAAACTCATTCATCGTTCATCATCCAAATTTCTTCTCCAACTTTCAACAATCATCTAGATTTCTTCGATTAAACCATCATCAATCCATTTTTTTTGATCGGGTAAAGCCGTAAAGGGGATACGAAGTAGATGATGGCGAGAGGAAAACGAGAAGCAAATCGATGAACGAACACAGCGGGCTTTGCAGCAACCCTTCGTTCACCTCCCATCGTCAGCAGCAAAGGAGACCAATGTGAAGATTCTTCGGTGCTCGTCTTCGTCTGATTAAGGGGGAGAAGCACGAAGGTTCGTTACCCGACTCGCAAACCGAGATGGTCTCCGTGGTTTTGATTAGACTAAAGGAGGAGGTGTTTGGTTTTGCTAGGAGATTGCGATCGGAAAGAAGCCAGAAGCGAGGGTTTGGTTTTGCTAGGAGATTGGGTCGGACGCCCGCTGCCTCTCATTTGCTTCCTGCCAGCGAGAAATGAAGAGAGAGGGAGGCGAGGGAAGATGGCATCGGTGTTAGTGGGTCAACGAGCCAAGGCATAAAGGGAAACCGAGGTTCCAATCGACGGAAATAGTCTAGAAGATGGTGGCTTTTGGCTGTGGTAATCGATGGGAAGTGCTGAAGGGTCTTGATGGCACGGTTGTTGCTTCAATTGGTACGGTCCTCTTCTTGTTTCTTTTATTTTGATTGTAAATCAGTTAGGTGGGTGTTTGGGTGATCGATGTTCAACGGGTGAGTAGATGGGGGAAAAGGATTTGATCAGGTTTGGTGTGTTCATCATGAACAGATAGAGAAAGGGGTTTGACTGGAAATCAACGATAACGAAGGGAGTTTGGTTTGTTTCATTTGACAGGAAAGAAAACAAATGACAATGATTTCATGGATGTTTGTTTGCTATTGTTTAATCCTGTTCGGATAAAAATGTATGGTGTGTTTGGTTGGATCATTTGATAGGAAAGTCTGTATGTTATTCATATGTGAATAACATATAAAAATTATATATATTTGTGAAAATACATTATAATATTCATAAGTGAATATACTGTGTAATAT